CCTCGTTTCCTCCCGGCTGGTGGGCTGCCCACCTCGGGCAGGGAAGGCAGGATGGTGGTGCTATCCTTGGTCTTAGGGCTTTCGGAACAGGATGACTTTGCCAATATCCCTGACCTGCAAAACCCAGGAACCCAGCAGAACCAGAACGCTCAGGGGGACAAGAGGTACGAGCTCAGGCGAGGGCCTGCGGCGGCCGCGGCAGAGATGGAGGCGTGGACAGGCTGCCGGCCTCCACCAGCCCTGGCCCGGCTGCTGGATGAGGCGGCGGTGCCCTCAGCGATCCTGGAGCGGGAGGACAGCCCCCTCCCCAGCCGGTGCCCTCACACACGCCACCCCGGGCTGTCCCTGGGGTCCAAGGCCAGTGTGGCCGTCCTGGGACCATTCTGGATCAAGCCTGCTCCCCAGGCATGCTTGCCCTCGCCCGGAGCAAGTCAGCCTTTCTGCCCCATCTCTCTGCTTGGCTCCCCCCCCACCCCTTGCTGCCCCTCATTTTTCATCTCTGCCCCACCCCAACCCCGAAATCCCAGTTTCTCTGGTGGTTGGTGGGCGGGGGGGATGTAGGGAAGGGGCACCAGCCTGTTCTCCCTCATCCCCGCCACCTCAACCTCCCTCTTGCCTGGAGGTCCCGCTGGGGTGACGGTAGCACCCCCTCACCGCAGGGGTACTGCACAGGTGTGGCTGAGCTGCTTGGCTGATTGAAGAGGAGCCCCTGGTGGGGAGGGTGTGGGGCATGGGAGAGGCGTGGGGACCAGAAAGAACCGAGAGGCAGCCCTGAACCTTGAGGTACCAGGAGGAGGGAATAGGGGGAGAGCCCAAGAGCAGACCTGTTTGCTCAGGCGGAGCAGAGGCCTGGGCATTTAGCCGTAGTGTTGCCATCAGGAACTCAGGGAAGCACCTCCTGGTGCCTCCCGTCTCAGGGAGGGCGTGGAGCACTCGCGGGGAAGGAGATGGGGGAAAGGTCGGAGGGCCGGAGGCTCGGGCAGCATCGCAAAGGTGGGGTGATCCTGCCCTTGGTGTGGCTGCCTCCCATCACCTGGCCTTGGGCTGGGCCAGCCACACACCTGTAAGTCGCAGAGGGAGGGCTCCTGACCTCGGTCAGGTCTGCTTCTCGTCAGACCAAAAGCCTACCGGAGAGCATGGGCTGACGGCCAGGATGCCAGCCTTCTAGCTCTGGTCGCCAGAGACCCGCTCTGCAGACGTGGACGAGTCACTGCCCCTCTCTGAGCCTCTGTTTCCTTGTCTGTCGAATGAAGGATTGGAGAGGGTGACCGCTTCCAGCTTGGGCATGCTAAGCTTCTCATGAGAGCACAGACCCTCAGGCTGGGGCACCTGTCAGAGCCTGTGAGCTGGGCAGGGATCCTGACATTCCCTGAGGCCCATAAGGCAGGAGGGGACTGTCCCAGGCCGCCACCAGGGGCCTGTGGGTTACGGAAGCCTAGGCCAAGAGTTAGACAGCTGACTGCCTGTCCCTCCAGCGGCTTCTTGCACTTTCTTCCTATTCCAAGTTCACAGTTGCATGTCTATGGTGGACACAGCCAGAAGTCCCCGGAGAGTGGGAGGGAAGAGCAGGACGGGTTCTTTCACTCATTGGCACAGATGGTGTCAAACCCCGAGCCCATGTCCTGGGGGGTGGGAGGAACAGAGCCTACCACCTCCAGCCCACCTGGCGCCCCAGAAGTCCTGGGCTGGGCCCCGGGCAGGCCAGAGTGCCGTGGGGAGGGGGCCAGGGGCCACGGGGGAGAGGCGGCAGGAGGAGGCTGGAGGCCTCTGGAAGCCTGCTGAGAACCCGAGCTCTTGGCCGGGGGGGGGGAAGGTGTGAAGTGTGCGGGAGCAGACGCAGGCTGGAAACGAGATTTCACATCACCCATGTGTTCATTAGCTGGCTCCATTTCCACCCACAGCCTATTTTTACCCCTGCCATGTAGGTCTCCCGCCCGTATTCTAACACACCCATCTCTTCCGACCATTACATCAGCTGTCCCTGCCTTCCTGGGAAAGGTGGGTGTGGAGGTGGAGGCCGTGGGCCCTCGCCCCCACCCTGCCTGACTCTCCAGGTGGACATATGTCATTCCCACCCGGTCACACCCACCCCATCCGTCTCATGGCCTCTGGGGTGTTTCCCAGGCGACCGGGCACTGCGAGGGTGTCCAGCACTGAGGGCTTCCTTCCCGGCACTCTCCCCCGCCCCAAGCTCGACATCGGCACTGGCAGCACCCCACCAGGCTCTCGGCACCTTAGGGCTCCACTCCTCTGGAGCCCTGGCTCTTTGGACCTTGGAATGCTGGGCTTGGGTCAGCTGTCCCTTTATCTTCAGCTTCTGCCTCCAGACCCAGAGTCTGCCCTTCTGCCCTGATTCCCGCCCCCACCCCTTACCATCCGGCTGACCCCTGGGCTGTGGACTTTCAGCCCCTGAGGTCTCTGTCAGCGGCAAGTCCCTGGGTGACAGGAGGGCCCCGGGAGGAGGAACAGCCATTCCAATTCCCGAACAAGGTAGGGGCGCCTCTAGCGAGCAACATGGAGACGGGAAGGTTGGTCAGTACCTCCCTCCCAGGATCCCTGGTGGCCTGGAAGGCCCCCATCCAGGATCTCCCAGTCCCAGAGCCTCAGTACTGTGGGCCCCAAGAACAGAATGCTGTTGGACCCGGGAGGGAGGGAGGAAGGAGGCCAGGACCACCCCTGGCCCCCGTGCCTTGCTGCCTTCACCCATCCTGCCCTGCATCCACCCTCATGTCATGCTCCCTGCCATCCCTTCCATCGCTCCTTGGGATCCGAATGGTGTCCACCGTGACCCCCCCCACCCCCTGAGTGGGGCGCGGGGCAGGGCGGGGACCTGGCCACCCCCATCGCTCTCCTTGCCCCCAAACCACCATGTTTCCTCCGTCCTGGTGTGTGTCCCCCGCCTCCTCTCTGCCTCTCCTCTCGGCCGCCTCGCTCGTCCCCTTGTCCACCCTGCAGCCTTCTTCACTAGTCTCCGACTAACCTTTCTTGGCCTCTCTCTCTCTCCCCCTCTCCTTCCTCCCAGCTGCTCCTCACAGGGATGTCCCTGGGCCAGTGAGGGGGCCCCTGCGCCTCTCCCTCTGCCTCTCTGTGCACTTGTCTCTCGGTCTCTCTCTGTCCTGTGACCTCCGGTAGCTTCAGTGGCGCTGACCATCTTCCCAGGCTGCTTTGCAGCTGCGCTGATGCTGTGGTGTGGCCAAAATAACTCCGACTTTCTCATACCTTCAGCAGTCAATCTGGCGCTCTCCTCCAGTCCCACTCTATTTTTAACCTGACTTTACCTCTCCAGCTATTTCGGTGCCCTCTTCCTCCCCGTGCCTGTCTGCGTAAGCACGTGTCCGCGAGTGTGTGTCCCTGTGTGTGCGCGTGCACGCGGGAGTGCCCCGCGGTGGCCGCGCCTGTGGCAGGGACCCCGAGGGGGCCCCAGGCGGGGTGGGGTGCTTCGTGCTGTCTAGGCAGGGCCGGGTTCTCACAGCAGGTGCGTGTGCGTCTGATTCTCAGGGTGTCTGTCCCTGAAACGGCTCCCCGCTTTGGTCTGTTTCAGTCGGTCCCGATTCACACGCACACCCTGGCATGCACGGGTCTCCCTGGATGTTTCGTCTTGGGATTTAAGTGTGCATCGCCGGGGGGGGGTGGTGTGTGTATGTGTGTCATCTCACTGCTCTGGTCGACCTGCCTTGTTGCTGTGCCATTCTCTCCCTGGTGCTGCCTGGGTGTCTGTCAGGCTTGTGTGCACTCGTGTGTGTGTGCGTGCGTGCGTGTGCACGTGCACACCTTGCTGTTGGGTCCTGGTATCTCCCCACCAGGGCCTGGCAGATTCCGTGCATAATGTCTGTCTGCCTGTCGTGGTCCACTGTGTGCTGGCGGCTGGTCCATACCGAGGGTGTGTGTCTAGCCTGTGTGTGTCTCCGAGTATGAGGCTCTGGGACTCTCAGAGCTGTTCTCTTGTAGCCTGTCTCAAGCCCCATGCTGCCAGTCTTCCTGTCTTTTCCTCGCTGCCTGCCCCACCTTTCCTCCTCATGAGATGTTCCAGCCTGGTCCCTGGGCACACTTTTAGGGCCCCCTTCCTGAGCCCCAGCTGGACGGAGCCTGGGCTCACCACCCAGCTGCCGGGCCAGAGAGCCCAGCTTCCTGGGAGCAGCATGGAGTCGGGGTGCACGCAGGGCCTCGCGTGGAATGGTCAGATTCGGGGCTTCTCGGTGGTGCCCCGTCTCTCTCTGACCCTGGGTGAGAGCCTTATCCCACACGCAGCCCTCAGAGCGGGAGGCAGGTGGGGACTGGGGAGCAAGCGGGTGTAGACTCGTCCTATCCCGCAGGTGGCTGTTTAAATCTAAATTAGTTTGAGTCGAACAAAATGAAATATCCTGTCCTCAGTCGCACTGGCCACTTCAAATGCTTTAGTAGCCACATAGGGACGGCGCAGACATAGAACACTGCTGCCATCGTAGAAAGTTCTACTGGCCAGAGCTGTGTGGGCAGTGGTCCTGACCTCCGCTGGTCAGTCTCGGGTCTAAAGGGCACCTGTGTTCTCAGGCTGAACAAACACAGGTGGGGCCTCTGGGAGGTAGCACCCTGGGCGTGTTCGCAGAGGGTAATGACGCAGAGGGGTGACCTGGACATGCCACCTGGGGAGCCTCCCCTGCCAGGTTGGAGCGAGCAGGGGTGCCCGGGGCCTCTGGGGCCGGGGGCACGCTCCAAGACCACCATGCAGGCAGTGACTGGGTGGTGGGGCATTCTCTGGGGACCAGGAGGAGGGCGAGTACCCACCAATACAGCATCCACAGGGGCAGTCAAGCTGGATCATGCTAAGGTGAGGGAGATGGGCCCCGAGTTCTGCTCTAGGTGCAAACCAGGCCTCCCCGTGGACAAGAGCACGGCTCCTGCTGGCCTGCAGGAGGGGGTGGCTGCTTGGGTCTCAGAGGAGGTGCTGCCGCCACCCCGGCCAAGGTGCCCGGCCCAGCCCACCTCCCGACCCGCACTCATTCGGATCCCCCCACCTCCAGGTTGCCTGCAGGAGGGAAGGCAGTGAACACAGCCCCAGTGCCAGGCCAGACACCCCATGATGAGTCTGACCGCCGGACTGAGCCGCGCTCCTCCGTCTCGGACCTCGTCAACTCCCTCACCAGTGAGATGCTCATGGTGAGAAGGGCAGGACGCCGGGGCCCCAGGCAGGAGCTGAACTGGGAGGCCGGGGCCGGGACACGTGTGACAGTTGGTGACAGCGTGGGGGTTGTCCAGTCGGGAAGGGGAACCAAAATGGACTGAGTGAGCAAGGCTTGGGTTCTTTTCTCAGCTTTTTCCCCAGAACAGGCTCTCTGTGCCTCAGTTTCCTCATTTGTCCAGTGAGAATAAGAATGCCCATCTTCCTCCAGTCTCTTTCTGGGTTGAGTGGGGGTCCAAGAAACCCTACTCATGGGAGGGATTTTTATGATTGTAGGAGGAAAGGCTTGGGGCAGAATGTGTCCCCTCTCTTGGAGCGGTGTCCCAGTGAGGGGAGGTCTGAGGTGGAGCTCCCAGTGGAGCGAGTCTCATGTCCCTCTCTCAGGGACCTCCCCTTACCCCCATTGCTGGACGCCAGCTGAGGCCCAAAGATAAAAGGAGAGTAGGAAACTGCCCCTCCCAGTCCTGATTCCTGGGAGGGAACAGCTGTGCTGAGAGTCTTCTGTGCACACACGGGGCTTCCAGCCCTATGGTTCTGGGGTGTTTCCACCAAGGGAAAGGTTGAGGCTCCTGTCTCACCCCCTGGTGGTAGCAGTGAGGCACAGCGTTGCACCTCACCTGTGCTGGGGGAAGAACCTGGGGAGGGCCGGGGCCCCAGGGCGAGGAACTTGTGATGGGGCAGCCAGCGGTTTGCAGGCGGCCGTCAGTCAGAGCTTTGCCAGCTCACAAGTCCCAAGGAGGCTTAGGGTATGAGGTTGCGAACCTGGTGCCTGCTGTGTTCCTCCTGGACAAGACCGTGGACAAGTCATTTCTGGTCCCTGGACCCGGGTCCCCTCCCCAGTCCCTCCTGTAGATCGAGGGAGAGTTTGTGGGCTCTCAAGCCCTTGCCAGTCCTGACATCATCCAGTTCAGAGTTCCCTTGCCCAGGCCCTGGCATGACATCTGCCACGCTCTCTGGGGCCCCACCCTTCTGCCGGTTAGGGCTCCAGCCAGCTCCAACCATCCACCCCCACTGCCCCTTTCTAGCGCAGCGCTTCTCAAAATTATAATATGCACACAAATCACTGGGAGATCTCGTTAAAATGCAGATTCCCACGGGGCGCCTGGCTGGTTTCAGTTGGAAGAGCCCGGAGCTCCTGATCTTGGGGTCATGAGTTCGAGCCCCATGTTGAGTATAGAGATGACTTAGATACATAAAACTTTTTTAAAAATGCAGATTCCCAGTCAGCAGGCCTGTGGTGGGCCCTAGGATCTGCATTTCTCTTGCGTGGATCCAGATTCGGGCATCAGATTTTCCCTGTTCTAGAGCTGATCTCCCCTGGGCCTCTACCCACCACCCCCACCATAGGCCCCTGCACGCCTGGCCCTCTGCGGCCCGCTTGTCCATCTCCCCCACCCACATAGGTGGGCGCAGCCACACCGTCCTCTGGATGGGCCAGCCACAGCCCGCTCTGCCTCCCTGCCCAGCCTCTTAATTGGTTACAGCTTCCTGGTAGTTAGGTTCCAAGAAGGAGCAGTCCATTCCCAGCCAGCTTGCGGGCCGTTTGCTGCCCCCAGGGAGGAACTGACAGCCTCAGGGAGAGGAAGGAAGTGTAGGCCTCAGGGCCCACTCACGGGCTCAGGGCTCGGGCCCAGGGCTCAGCGGAAGCTCAGAGGTGGGCAGGCGAGGTCTAATTGCCCAGCCCTAGGCCAAAGCTGGGTCATTGTCATTAACGGTGATGAGGAAGACAAGCAGGCTCTCAGAAGCTGGGGGTCAGGAGTCAGGCGCCCACAGCTGGCCAGAGGAAGGGACTGAGGGAAAGGGGTCAGAGAGGAGGCCAGGCCACACCCCCATCTGAGTCACCCCAGCCCTGGCATGCTTTTTGATGCTTGCTTCTACTGGAGCAGGGGCTCCCGCCGCGCCTCCCCTGGGGCCCTGGTAGGGGTGGCCAGTCTGGTTGCCATGGAAACAGCTCCTCAAGCTGCCCCGGCTGGTTAATTAGAGCTTGGGACTGTGGTTTGGGAAAGCTGGGAACAGGCACAGCTGGGAACAGGCCTCTCACCCCCACACCACCGGGTTTGGGAACCAAGAGCCAAGTGACCAGAGGGACCTCAGATGGGGCTGGGGTCACCTGGGCTCCAGTCACCAGGGACTCCACCCAAACTACAGAAGGCACAGGAGGGGCAAGTGGTCTTTGCCGGCACTGCCTACTCATGCATGCCCCAGGCTCCTGGTCCCAGGGCCAGCAGTGGCAGGGGCCAGGCTGCCGAGGGACCTGAGCCCATTTACACCATCCCAGGAACCTCGCAAGATGGATCTTATGGTTCCGTTCTGCAGGTGCAGAATCTAAGATGCACAGGGAGTAAGGCTGGTACCAGCAATGGGCAGGAGCACGGGAAAACTTCCCTGGGTCGGGAAGCCACATTCTCAGTGGGCCTGGAGGGGAGCTTGCAGGGTTGCCTGGATCCGGCCAAGCGGTAGGAGCTGGAGGGACCCTCTTCCACTGTGAGGAAGAGCAGGGAAGGTAGCTCAGCCCCCATCCCCTTCCAGCTCCAGGCAGGACCAGGGTGTGGCTGATGAAGCCCCAGATGCTGGATCAGAGTGTCGGAGTGAGGGGAGCCAGAAGGACACCCATGATAGCTGGGCACTGACCTGGCCTCAAGTTTCAACTCACCACTGCCTCATGGGTGACTGGAGGCAAGCTAATCACCTCTCTCTCCTCGAAACCCAACTGGTACATGGTAGTGCCTGCCTCATCCAGATGTCGGAGGGAGTCGATGAGCGCAAAGCGCAGGGCACAGGGTGAGGCCAGGCCTGGTGGTTACTGTTCTTAGTGTGATTTGAATCTTCTCACCTGGGGCAGGTGAGTTCTCACTGGCTTGGGGGGATGTCTCAAAACTGCCCTGGGATGCGAGCCTGCTTTGGTGGAAAGAGTGAGCTCTCAAGTCAGAGAGGATCCATAACGCTGTGCAATCTTGGCTGTGTGACTTAACCTCTCTGAGCCAGTCTCCTCAGCTAGGGAGTGGTGATAACTGCCTCGCCCAGCTGTTGGCAGGATTCAGTAAGAAGGTGATGTAAGAGTCTTCCGCCATGGTAGGTGCACACTATGTATATTCTTATTATCTGTACTGCGTAGTATTTCAGAGCTTGGGGCCGCTTCCTAGGAGGAAGGAGGGGGCACAGCGAAGTCTCCTGTAGGGGAAGTGGGGAGAGAAACTGGGCCAGCAGTTTCGTCCTAAATGCGTTACCACGAGTCCCAACTCGGGCTGTCATCCAGTCACCTGAGGAGCTTTCAGAGAGAGGGATGCCTGGACCACTCGGACCCCTCGGTCTGGGATGGGACCCAGGCAGCCAGGAAATGTCCCCAGGTTCCCATGAGCAGCCACGGCTGAGACTTGCCTGGGAGACTCGCCCCCAAATTAAGTCCCCCTAGTTTTTCAAAGTCAGCATGGGAAGGGGACACCCACACCACCCTCCATGTGTATGTCCCTTGCTGGGCTGGCCCAAGGGCCAGCCCCTGGGCGATGTGGGCTGAATGCAGGCGGGGCCCTTCCTCCTGGTGGTCCTCAGCCCTGGTGTGGGTGTGCTGTAGAGTGAGCTGAGGTGCTTTCTAAACAACTCTGCTGCCCAGGCTCTCTCCAGCCCCATCCAGTCAGGCTCTCTCGGGATGGGGCCTGGGAACCTGTATTTTTAGCATCCCCACGTGGATCTATGCCTTACACAAATTAGATGTTGCTGCTGAAAACTCGCCTCTCTCATTTTGTAAATCACATCATCCTCAACCCCAGAGAATCACTTTCCAAAGAAATATCCTGGTAAACTCTTTTGAAATGCGAACAATCTCCCTCATCTGGGGCTTTTGTGCTGGTGCATTTCACCATGGGCCCCGCTGGGCTGTGGAAGGCGGGACGGTGGGAGGGGGAGCCCGGGATGGGGGAGGCCAAAGCAGCGTGGGACGGGAGCTTGGGGCAGGGGCAGTGGGGAGACCCAGGGCTTCCAGGGGAGACTGGGGAGTAGGGTGCACACTGCTCTGAGGTTTCGGGGGACAGGGGCTGTCCTGGCTCTGCCCCTCCCGTGTGACCTGACCGTCCTCACCCAGGTGTGAATGTGAGTGAGACGGGTCACCGCCAAGCCCACATGGTGACCAGAGGAAGAGCAAGCTCTTCAGGCCCAGGGAGGCTTCCTAACTGTGCTGGGCTGTGGTGGGGGCCCCCCCGGGGTGGAGGAGGCGGAAGCAGAACCCTCCTCAACTCTGCCCGCCTTCCCCCCACCCCGCCCCCAGCTCTCCCCAGGCTCCGAAGAGGACGAGGCCCACGAGGGCTGCAGCCGGGAGAACCTGGGCCGGATCCAGTTCAGTGTCGGCTACAACTTCCAGGAGTCCACGCTCACCGTGAAGATCATGAAGGCCCAGGAGCTGCCCGCCAAGGACTTCAGCGGCACGAGCGACCCCTTCGTCAAGATCTACCTGCTGCCAGACAAGAAGCACAAGCTGGAGACCAAGGTGAAGCGGAAGAACCTGAACCCCCACTGGAACGAGACCTTCCTCTTCGAAGGTGAGGCCGGTGCCGCCCCCGCGCCCCCCCCAGAGTCCCGCCTTCCCCTCCCCCATGCCCCCCACCCAGGGGCGCATGTACGCGCCGATGTGCAAGCATGTACGTATGCACCGATGCGCGCGCTCGCCCACACAGGCACGTGTCTCAGGCCAGCCAACCTGAGGCGTTTCGTGTCTAGCTGCGGTCAGGTGACAGGGCCCGCTGGTGGCAGAGCAGAGCCAGAGGCTGAGGAGCCCCGCGCGGACCCGGCGCCTGGGGTCTCAGCTCGGACGCAGGACTCGTCCTGAGGAGGGCAGCCGGGAGGGGAGGGAGGCGGGCCAGGACCCAGAGGGGGACCCCCGGGGGTAGTAGTGTAGTGGCCCAGAGTACAGGCTATGGCCCAGGCCGGCTGTTGGCAACCCAGCTCTGCCCCGTCTGGCTGTGTGACCAAGGCAAGTCCCTGAACGTCTCTGGGCCGTGGTTTCTGCGTCTGTAAAACACGGATAGTAATACAAGGACGAAACAAATCAGTGAATTGTGAAAGCCCTTATAACACCCAGAAAACCCTTTACACCAGTTTGTTGAAGACACACCCTCTGTTCCCCTTCTCTGAGCTCTTCCTCCCGCACCCCTGCCCCACATCCAGACGCATGGCAACAGCAGTCTGAACCATGCTCCTGGATCCTAGAGGCCGCTGAGGCAGACGCCCTTCCTCTCTCCTGCAGACCCCCTATGAAGGCCGTCTTTGTCTCTTACCTCTGAGGCGCCAAGGTAACCAGGAAGCTGGGCTGTGTTCAGGGAGCCATTTTTGTCCCGGGCCTTTTTGGTGCCTGGACTCTGCTCAGAGAAGCCATTATCCTTTCCTGACACGTTCAGCCAGTGAGAATAAATCCCTCCCACCACCAGCTGCCGCGGTGCTCCAGAATTTTCAGTGTGCACCCCAGGGGAACTTCCCCACCTGGTGTCCCAGACGATTGACACCCCACCCCTTCTGCAAGGTGACAGCGAGCTCACCTCAGATGGATCGTTGAGAGTGAGCTAGTGGGTGCTTGTGGGGGGAACGGGAGGACCCTTCTCCTCCCCAGTTCAGCGTGGTGGCCAGTTTAGACATGGGAGAGGCTCAGCGCTCTGGAGGAGTATGAGGCCAGCTGGTGGGGCGAGATTTATGGGCAGAGCTTCAATCCCCTGGTCTCTTGGGCAGACATTTATCCAGCACCAACTATGGATTGGGCGCTGTCCTGGATACTCGGGGGGGCGGGGGTGCAGAAAAGTCAGAGGCACCATTTGGCCCTCAAGGCATTCCTGATCTAGTGGAGGACATAGGTGTGTAGACAACCAAGCCATACTCTGCATGGCAGATGCTGTGGGAACCCACTCTCTGCTCCCCTTGATGGTGCTGGAAAACATTTCCCAGAATAGGGGCCATTCAAGATGGGTTCTGACGGATGAATAGGTGTTTGCTAAATAAAAAACTACCTCCTCTGCTGCTGAAGAGAGCTGCCTCTGATGTGGGGACCTCTTGGAGCCTCCAACATTTCCAGAACCATTCACCTGAATCAATGCCAAAGGTCAACTGGGCAGGTCCCCGGGGACTCCGAGATGAGCAAGATGTAGCCCCCTTTGGAGGGAGGAGGAAGCCCTGACGGAATTCAAGGGCTGGGAGTTTGGGGAACACAGGACTTCCTCTTCCAGCACACCTGCTCCCGTCAGAAGCAGTTCTGCTTCTAGCGTCTGGCTGAAAGTGCTAGAATCCTCCAGAGCTCTTCCTCTCCCCACATCTTCTCCACCAGCCAGGCTAAGGCGTCGGGTGTCCTCTCTCCTTCCTGCTCACACCGTGGTTCAGGATCTCACCACCTCAGACCTCCAGGCTGACCTGCACCCCCTGTGCCTCCCAGGCTGGCTTTCCTCAGAGGAGACCAAGCCTCCCCAGGCCCAATGACTCCAGCTTCAGCCCTTCCTCAGGCTCCCTCGCCTGGCTCCCCCTGAAGCCTCCTCACCTGCTCCCCCCCAACACACTCTTGCCGCTCCATTAGGCCATTTGACTGCCATTTATTCATCTTTACAAGTACTGATTCACTTAAACAAATATTTATCGAGTGCCTACTACGTGCCAGAAACTGTTGGATGCTGGAATCCCATGGGTGAGGACAGAGATTGCTTCCTGAAAATCCTAGCCTGGTGGGAGTCAGGCCCAAGGAAACAGATGAGTCTCTGGTACAGCCCGTGGTGCGTGATGTGAAAAGAAAGTGCTGGAATCTAGAACAGGGGACCCAACGCCATCTGGGATGTCAGGGAGGAAAGCCGAGACCCGTCTCGGCCAGGGCAGGTGGTGAAGGCACCTCTAGGCAGGAGACACCGGGTACTAGAACTCGGAGAAGGAAGCTGGTGTGGCTGGAGCCCGTCATTGAGTGGAGAGTGCTTGCAAGAGAGGCCGGGACAGGACAGCGGGCCAGGTTGTACTGAGGGACTCAAAGCCAAGTCAGGGCGCGCAGCTTTTACTCTTAAGTGCGCTGGGAGCCACTGAAAGGCTTTAAGCAGGAGAGTGTTGTGATGGGATTTCTATTTTTAAGGGATCACTCTGCTGTGTTGACAATGGACGGCAGGAGAAAGTGCGCAAGCAGGGAGGGAGGTTTGGAAACTCTGGTGACTGTCTAGGCAGAATGTACCAGAAGCTGGGATGAGGGAGGTGGCCGTGGAGAAGGACAGCTTCGGGATCTGTTGAGGAACAGTGAAGGACAGGCTGATCACTGGAGGGAGAAGTGCAGCATCCGAGAACACGCGTTCACTCCTGTTTCTGTGTCTTTGCCACTCCCCTCCGCCCAAGGCCTCCTGGGGCTGGCTTTCTGGAGGCAGAGGCCAGCTCAGACAGTGCCACCTGTCCAGGCTTGTCCCGGGATGATTGGCATTGGCAGGGCTGCCTGGGGAGAGGGGGGCTCCTGCCCAGCCACCAAGACAGACGCGTGACACAGGAGTGCATAAATGGTCCCAGTTCTGCTCTTTAGTAGCTGGGAGACTGCGGGCGGGTAGTGTAAGCCATCCAAGGCTCTGTCTCCTCATCTGTAAAATGTGCAAGATACCGTCCACCTTGGAGAGTTGTCAAGAGGGACAAGTGTGATGGTGACAGGATGCTTCAGGAAGGTCTGAATTCAGCTGTTGCACGCCATACCTCAGTGGGGTGGCAGCAGGTGGGCACAGGGCACAGGGACTTTGTGCCCTGGAGCGTCGCCCTGCTCAGGCCCCGTGTGGCCCCCCTGTCCCACTCTTCACCCGTGCTGTGTGTCCACCAGGTTTCCCCTACGAGAAGGTGGTGCAGAGGATCCTCTACCTCCAGGTCCTGGACTATGACCGGTTCAGCCGCAATGACCCCATTGGGGAAGTGTCCATCCCTCTCAACAAGGTGGACCTGACCCAGATGCAGACCTTCTGGAAGGATCTGAAGCCATGCAGCGATGGGAGTGTAAGGCCCCACTTGTGCGCCCCTGGCTTGGGGAGCTGGCAGGTCAGGGCCAGCAGATCTGGTCCTAGTCCCCCTGCAACCTTGGTGATGTCAGGAGGGTGGTGGGGAAGGCGCAAACGGGCACCCAGGGTGCAGAGTTCCCACCCTTGGTCTCAGCACCGGTGCTTGGCCCCTGGGGGGAGCTGCCTGAGCTGTGGTAAAGGACCTGGCACCTGTGTAGGGAGGAGGGGTCCCATGGGGGGCAGTGCACAGAACTGCTAGGTGAGGAGACACCAGGTGTGACAGAAGTGACAGATGGGGGTGGGTGAGCACCCAGGCCAGGGCAGGGAGGGACCTGGGGCAGTGGGGCCAGCCGGAGAGTTCTCTAACTGTCCCCTCTCCCCTCGTCCCCACACCGCTCCTGTTCTCCCTCCCAGGGGAGCCAAGGCAAGTCGGGGGGGACACCCTTCCCCACAGCCCAGGCTCACCCACAACCTTTCCCTCCCAGGGGAGCCGAGGGGAGCTGCTCTTGTCTCTCTGCTACAACCCCTCTGCCAACTCCATCATCGTGAACATCATCAAAGCCCGGAACCTCAAAGCCATGGACATCGGGGGCACATCAGGTTCTGGGGATTCTCAACACAGAGGGTGGATGGACCGGGGAGGTTCTGGGGACATGATGGTCATGCCGGATGTGGAGAGCAGGGTCTGAGCTGTGGCACTCACCCCTGACCCTCTCACCCCCACCTCTGGTCTCAACTCCGATACCCTAGAGCCCTAGGGGACCCCATTTGGAGCACCCTTAGGGTCTGTATCATCTTGGACTCTGTCCTGACCAGAATCAAGGAGAAGGGGAGCACTGTGGTGGGAGACCTGGGCTCCAGCACCAGCTCAAACACCTGTCGTCTGTGGCCTCGGGCAAGACCTGGCCTCTGCGGGTCTCAGTTTCCTTGTTCGTAATAGGGCACTAGGTGATGGCCAAGGTCCCTTCCAGTCTGTCCATCCACTGGTCCCCCAGATCCCTCTCGTTGCTTGGGGCTTTCCTCACCACCTAGGGAAAGCATACAGCCCCTCCTGCCCCAGCTGCTACTCCTGGAGAGGGAAGGGGATCCCGGGGAGCCCCCACACGGTCCCTCTGACCTCTCTTCTACCCGTCCCCCAGACCCCTACGTGAAGGTGTGGCTGATGTACAAAGACAAGCGGGTGGAGAAGAAGAAGACAGTGACGATGAAGAGGAACCTGAACCCCATCTTCAACGAGTCTTTTGCCTTTGATATCCCCACGGAGAAGCTGAGGGAGACGACCATCATTATCACTGTCATGGACAAGGACAAGCTTAGCCGTAACGACGTTATTGGCAAGGTAAGGGCCTGGTGGGTGGGGTGACACACCTGTCCTCGCAAGAAGCAGCAGAGGCGGTCGTTGAGCTCAGGGCTGGGCCAGTCCCTTCTCCTCTCTGGGCTTCCATTTCATCTAAAAATGAGGGGATAGGACAAAATCTTCCCTAAGTGTCCTACTGTGGGTTGATCAGCCCAGGACAGGCCACTAGAAGAGCAGGGAAAGGAGGAAGTGGAAGAAGGACGTGGCTTGGGTCCCCAAAAGGGAGTTTTCTGGACAGGACCCTCAGGCAGGGTGAGGACCTCAGAGCAATGTCACCCAGGTCCCATCTTCAGAGGGTGAGCTCTGTGGGGCAGTGTCAAGACCCGCAGTCAGACTCCAAAGACCTGGCTTCGGTTCCCACCTCATCTGCTGCTAAATAGCTGTATGACCTTGGACAAGCCACTTGTCTCTCTGATGTCCAGTGTCCCCATTTATAAAACAGAGCTAATAGTACCAAACTTCTAGCTTTCACAGGGTGGTATGAGAATTGCCTGAGATCTGTGGATGTTCCCCTTGTAGAAAGTGACCTCTCCTCATCATAGGCTCATCAAAAAAATCCATGTGCCTGGCCTTGAGTTTTTCTAGGATGTCATTCTGTGACATAAACCCTTCAGTTTCTGTACTTTGAAATGTCTTATCCCCGTGTTCGTTTATGGTTTAGTGTTGAGAGTTTGGGCTTGGGAATCAGATTGCCTGGGCCCAGCCCCCATCTTGACAGCCATGACCTATCTGAGCCCCATTTCATTTCCACAATGAAAGTAAGACAGTCCTAACCTCACAGTGTGCTGAGATTAAATAAGACAACATGGGTGAAATGCTTGGTACAGTGCTTAGAATGTATGTGTTAGCTGCCATTATAATAAAAGTTATTTTTGAAGCATTCCTATTATGGGCATGTTTGTCCATTGGGGCATGGAGCTTTGACCAGGAGCAGTGCAGGAAGCCAGGGATGAGGGCAGGTGGAGGGGAAGGGCAGATGCCAGGAGCACGTGAGGAAAAAATATGCGTCACCTGGGGCACGGCCCTGTATGGAGTAAACGAGGAGTGACCTGGACCCCCACGGGGAAGAGGGCCAAGATGGAGGCTACTTTCAGATAGGGATGGAGAACTTAGCTGTTGGGGCTAAGGGAAGCAGCTGACCTCAAAGCAAGGCCCCGGAAACATGTCCGGCCAACCTGTGGTCACAAGTGGCACCATTCCTCAGGGCAGTGACACCCATACCCTAGCAGGACCCTGTGTTCCGAGCAGGCCTGCAGCCTACTGGGCCCCCTCCTTGATCAGCTCAGGCCAAGTAACCATATCTACTTCGAAGCTTTTTGGAAGCTTAGCCTTTTGGAGTTGGGTGTTCTTGAGATACCAATTATAGCTCCTTCTGAAACCCATCCTACCTTCTGTTGACTGAGCCAAGGTGAAGGAGGATTGGTTCTCACTTTGGCCTGGGTCCCTTAGGGAGCCCTAGGCTTCTAACCAGCCTCCAGTCACAAGGTTGGGGTCAGCTGGGGGACCATGCACACAGCTCCGCGAGGCTGCGAGGCCAGCTGGGTGGGGCTGGTAGTCCAGAGCCAGAAAGGCCTAGATGTAAATTCCTCTGTACTACTTATTAATTCCATGACTCTGGGTGAGTCTCTGCTCTCTGCACCTTCGTTTCTCCATCTGTAAAATGGGGATAATATACCTGCCTCACAGGTAAGGATTCGGTGACCTGTATGTTTAAGGCCTTGCCCTCAGTGCCTGGTGTGCTGTAAGTGGCAAGGAGGTGGGAGCAATGGAAAGTGAGAAGAGGCAGACAGTGGCCAACAGGGCAGGGAAGGGCATGGGGCCAACTGCCTCCACCCCCACCGCAAAACAGGTCAGCAGTCTAATTGGGAAGGGCCAGGCGTGCCCAGGCACCCAGAGGGAGGCACAGCAAGGAAAATAGGTCAGGCTGGCGGGGAGGACGGAGGGAGTCTCTTGAGGGTAGGCTGTCACTGTAGGCGGAGGCGCCCTGGTCCCCATGATCATGATCTTAGGGTGCCAGTGAGGAGCTGGAGCGTCACCCCCTGGTGGGGGCAGGGGACAACGCCTCTGAGAGTGTCACTGAGACTGTGCTCTTCCCTTTCTCCCCAGATCTACCTGTCCTGGAAGAGCGGGCCTGGGGAGGTGAAGCACTGGAAGGACATGATTGCCCGTCCCCGGCAGCCGGTGGCCCAGTGGCACCAGCTGAAGGCCTAAGTGTGGCCCCGGGAGGCCCAGGGGGCTGAGGGCCCGGGTCCCCATCATGCCCTCACCACTTTATGCACAATGCCCGGCCTGGCCCCCCGCCATAGGTGAGGGGAGGACCCTGAGGGCTTGGCCAGGGAGGGGTCCCAGGAGTCAGTTAGGCCCCGTTTCTAGGAAGTACCAGCCTCATCCTCCACTGGTCCAGCTCTGGGGGAGGGGCTCTGGGAGCCATTTTCCTGCTTTGCCCCTTTCCTTCCTGACTTGCTGATACTAAAGAAGTGGGGGAGAGCGTGAAGTCCAGACAGGCAGACGGGCAGATCCCTCCAGAGACCCGCCAGGTGGGCACGGTCCCCCGTTTTCTTTCAGGCAGTGCCTGGAGTGGAGAGAAGCTGCCCTCTCCCCAGCTCCCAATGTGGGCCCAGGAGAGGGGAGGCCGAGGCGTTTGGCCCCGGCCTGGCCAGGAGAGCCCGTCCCAGGGCAGTTTCAGGTGCCGGCTGGGCCCTGAATGCCAAGGATAGTATATAGCCTGCTCCAGGGTCCTGGAGCCACAGCCCATGTACTTGGCGTCACATCCACCGTGTGTGCGTGTGTGTGTGTGTGTGTATGGGGGTGGGGGCACGCTTCCCCTGTCCGCCTGGGGCCAGCCGTGCAGAGAAGGCAGGCTTTCATAAAGTGAGGCAGGGCAGGAGGCCAAGAGAGGTCAATGCACAGAGCGGGGGATGGGCAAGGAGAGGCCGGTGAGGGGTGAGAAGTGAAATGTGGGGCAGGGGATGAGGCCTGAGAACTTGGCTGCTCCCGCCGCCCCCACCCGCTGCCCCTCTCTGCTCCTTGCCGAGCAATTTCACCTCTTGAACATCATTTCACAGCTTTTAGGCACCTACTGCGTGTATCACATTCCACCAGGACCCCCTCCTCTCCTTCTCAGGGGTCCCAAGCCCCCACTAGCTCTCTTCCCTAACACCGTCGCCCAGACACCCTCAGCCTTCCCAGATCTCAGATCCCGGCCAAGTTGGCAAAATTCTCCGTGCTTCCCAGATTCCTTCCCTGTCTGTGCAGCCCTCTGCCACCCCTCCATCCCCCGAGCCCTCGCAGACCTTCCCTTCCCTTCCCTTCCCTTCCTCGCTCCCTTCCATTCGGGGTCGGAGTCTCTGGCCCAGCCTTCTTTCCCCACTGCTCCCAGTCCCTCAGAGCAGCTCCTTCTGCCCCTCCCAGTTCAGGCAGACGAAGCAGGCAGAAGTCCAGATTCTACAAGTTTTGAGGTTGCCCCACACAGAGAAGTCGGGGCTTCTCTGCCTCAGCTGCTGCAGAGACTAAAACTGGCCTTCCCTTGGAGACAGCAGATTCCGGGACGATCCCTGCTTAAGCCTGCTCAGCCCCACGAGGGTCCTGGTATTGATACAAGACGGCGGGCGACAGTCTCAAGTCCAGGGGTCCGCCCGCCTGGGCCTGCCACTTCCGGCACAGGCCGCCAGGTGGCGCCCAGACACCACGTCTGTGGCCGCGGCCTGGGACCACAGTTCTGCCTGGAGATGGGCTTGACCCCGAGGGGGGACTCTGGATAGGGTCCCCACTTACAGAGCACGGCAAAAGCATGGGAATTTGGGAGCCATTTTCTTTCAGTAGGCTGCCCCTTGAGCTGCCCGTATCAAAATGTATTACACTGAAATTCACACCCCTGCCCCCATTCCCTCCCCCTAAGGATCTGGAGGAATATCATACAGCGTAGGTGAATCATTTCGTAGATTGAAGAGTGCTCTTGTAAAGCAAATAGTCACCCACATTCCTTGTAAATCCCAATTTTTCTGTATTGTAGCTTTGCTTAAAATGGGGGCCTGCCCCAACTGCAGGGTCTTTATTGGGCGGGCTGGGGACCAGACCCCCCAGCGGGACGGGAAGGCAGCAACTCCGAAGGCTGTGTGGAAGGGATCAGAGGGTTTTGTGGGCAGCCTGGCAAGGCGAGGGATCTGTCCTCCTCCAGCCCTCCCTCAGATCCTGTGCCCCTCCACCACGCGGGGCCAGCCCCGCCCCCATGGCTCCCTGCCTGTTGCGCAGCCCTGGGGGAGGGATTGAACGAACCTGCAACGAGTGGGCGGGGCAACTGCATCTCTTTTTTCCGAGCCCCGCCCACGGGACTCTTAGCCAATCATATGCAGAGAGCATCTTCGGGCGGAGTCTGTTCCCAGCCTGACCCACCCACGCAAACTGGTGAACCAGTGAAACCTGCCTGGGTTTTCCAAGCCCCAGAGACGCCGCCGCCGGGAGGCCGGGGAGGGGCGACAAGTGGTGGGCCAAGGGTCCGGTGGGCTGGTACAGGAGGAGGCGGGTGGTATGCGGTGAGGGCGGGGGTGGGCTAGGGCTAGAGGAGAACAGGGAATGGGGGAACTTGAGGATGGGGCGGAAGGGCACAGAAGCCCTGCCACCATCCCAGGACCTTGGGCAGATCACCCACACTCCCGGGGCCTCAGTTTCCCCATCTGTAAAATGATGGTAATAATACTTCACCTACCTCATGGGGGAGGTTGTGAGGCCGCCGTCACCAGACCTGGGGGTTGAGGCAGGAGGACTGTGAAGGTGCTACCCGGAAGCAAAGTATTATTACTGTAGCCTGAAAGCAAGGCCCACCTGCCCCTCTCCCTGCAGCGTCTCCAAGGATAGCCGAGGCCGGCCTGGGCCCATCTGTCTCTTCTCCACTGTGTCCCAGGTCCCTTCATGAGCGTCATCTGCCGTCTTTGTGGGTGCCCTAGACTTAGTTGTTATCTTGTTCAGGTATCCTTTCTCGTGACCATCTCCCTACGTAACTGCTGACAAATTCCACCTGCCACAGCACCCCGCACCCGCCCACTGGCGCCAGACGCCAGGGAAGGGACAAGGAAAACAGCCACAAAAAAGCCAAGGAGGCCCCCAGAGCCCGCAGCCCGGCTGGGGCCCCAGGGGTGGGGTTGGTGGCCGCTGTTTGTATTGTGTTGGAGTCCTTGAGTGCAAGTGTTTTATTTTAAACAAAGAAAAAAAGAGAGACAGAAACCCACTATCACAAGAAAAAAAAATTGCAGCAAAGAGAAATGAAGAGAAAACTGAAGAAAAAAAAAACGGAAAAAAGAACCATACAAAATTTTTCCACCACACGCACCCTCTAAGCCAGCAAGATTTCCTCTTTGCAAAATCATATTTTTGTGGGAATGGGCCCTGCTTTTTGTGGCAGGGCTCGTTCTGATCAATAAAGGATCATGACAAAGTAGGGCCTCGGCTGTTTCCTCCGTGGGTCCCAGCCCTACCTCACCTCCCAGGGGAAGAGGCAGTGGGGTGAGGGGGATGGGGAGCCTGGGACTGAGTCTCCCTTTGTCACCTTTGGGATTTGGCTTCACTGGTGAGGAGGCCTTCCCGGAGCTTCCAGCCCCTCCTCAGATCTAGAGTATGAACCCACCAGCTGCCCAGAAAACAGGAGAGCAGCCATATTTCCCGATCAGGCCTGAAGCGAGGCTTGTCGGGAGTGGAGTCTCCTTGAGACCCTCTAGCTCACCCAGTCCAGCATTACCTCCTTCAGTTCCCAGGGGACCGTCACCACCCTCCAAGGCAGGTCAGACAATCCAAAGCAGGACCCTCCACCTTGCCTACCACCCCCTGAATGTTGACTGGCCCGTCGTGGTTTTGGACCAGCGTCTCCTTCCCAGTCCTTGCGGGGACCAGGAAAGAGTCCCAGATCTGTTGGCTGGATCTTTGGCTTCTCTCCACCCTTTCCCGGTTTAATCCTTTAGGATTAGAAGAGTCTTTCCAACTCAAAAGAGGCCATGGCCAGTCCCAGTCTGAGGAAGCTGGGGCCCAGTGTCTTCCTTCTCCAGCCGCTGCGGTCCCCGGGCAAGTTACTTCCTTCCCCGGGACCAGTGTCCTTAGTTCACAAAAGAGCAATAACCATCCCAGCCCATTCCCTTCCCTCCCCACACAGCCTAGGGGAAGCCGAGGCCTGGCAGCTCTCAGGCTACTTTAGAAGGAAGGTGCTACATCTTTTGCAGACACAAAAGGAACAAGTGCGCCTCTGTTACCATGTGTCCACCTACTGGCCTTGCCCCCCTCCAGAGTGAAGAGGGCCACCGCACCCCTGCTCCCCAGCACCTGGGGTGGGCAACTGCTTCCCTGCGCTGCACCAAGAACCCCCACCTAAAGCTGCCTGCCCTGTCCCCTTCCCCCCCACGAATTTCTTCCAACTCAGCTTCAACGTCCCGTTAAAAAGTGGTTTTCTTCTTTTGGCTTCTGATCTCTGTCCCAGAGATTAGAGGGAGCCCTAAGGTCAGGTAAGTAGCCTGAAGAGCACGCCTTGCCAGAACTTCTGTTCAGAATCTCTCTGGAAAGCTGGGCCCGAAAGCAGGACCCCTCATAACCTGGCAGACACAGCAGCTCCTCGCGCGGGGCTGCGGGGCTCCTCCTGGACTTTTTGCCTGGTTTGCCCGCCTTCACCTTGTTGGCTCTCCCAGTATCCATGGCTTCACCAAGAGATTTGCCCATCTCTCCCTGTGCCTGGGACCCCTGTCCTCTGGTGTGCTCTTCCTCACGCAAGTCCTTCCCGGACGCTACTGCTTTCCCGAAGGCTGTCCTGGGCCACGTCCTGCTCTCCTCTCCTTCCCCACAAAGACAACGGAAGGACGATGCTTGAACACGCTGTGCGCCCCAGCCCATGGCTCCCCTGGCCATCCGTGTCCGTTGAAGATGCCTCACTCCCTGCGTCTGTGTCCTGCGTGTGTGTGTATGTGTGCGTGCGTTGTGTCTTGTTTAGATTGTAAGCCCCCCTGGGCAGGGACCCTTGTCTGAATACATGTTCCGTGTGGCACGCCCGGGTGTGCTAATAAATGTCCATCCTCAGAACAAGAGTGCCTGGGTGTCTTAAGGAAGCTTTGGGACAGGTGGCTGAGCAAGCCAGTGTGGTGGCATTGGAGGCAGGAGGGGGGTCTGGGCAGGGCCCCCAGTTCCCAAGCACCGTGTTCTGCTCTCCCAAGCCCCAGAGAATGGGTGGGAAGCAGGGGATGACTGTAACAAAGCTAAGAAAGGACACACACGCACACACACACACACGTCTGCCGCTCTGCTGGCCAGGTCTGGCTACGGGGAGGCTCCGGGAGAGGGCAAGTTCCCACCCATTCCACACGGAGACCTGACCATCAGCTTAGGACAGAGGGGGTCTCCTATGGTGTGGATTTAGCCCTGGGTTAGGCGGCCTGAACCCCTTGGATGAGCAAGTCCCTTCCCTCCCTGGACCTGTTCCTAGCCCTGCCACTGCCTCTGCTTGTTTGTCATCACGGTCACCACTGCCTGCCCTCCGGCTCTGATCCCTGACCCCTGGGCACGCATACAGTTCTTGCAGAGCTACCGCACCATGCTCCCCCGAGGCCCGCCCACCGCTGACTGCCCCACACCAGCCGGGCCGCTGCAGACATGACCACCGTTACAGATGCCCCTCCAAAAGTCTTTTCCCCTTCCCCCTGCTCCCCCAAGGCCAAATGAGAAGTCACAGGCAGTTAAGTGGGGGGTGAACTAGGATTCCCAATGCTGTACTCTCTTCAGCACTGAGGGGATCTGTGATGCCCAGCTGTCCTTGGCAACGGCCCCCCTCCCACCCTGGTCTCTCCATTTCCAGATGGAGACGCAGACACTCGATAGCGCTCTCAAGCCAGGAGTTAGCGCCCACTTTAACCAAGCTGTCTCATTTCCCGAGAGGAACTGGCTTCTGGTAGTGGAGCAAGCAAGTAGCAAAGCCAGGAACTGGGCCCCGACAGGTGCTTCCTCTCCCTGGAGAGAAGCTCAGCCTTGGCAGCCCCTGCTTGGCTAGTGAGTGGCCAAGGACGAGGGAGCCACGTTTGACAGTGCAGAAAGGCAGGGGGCCCTCTGGGCCTGGACACGGTCCCGGGGGTATGCGTGGGAACTTTGCCTCACCTAGAGTTCTCAGGCAGGTGGAGCAGGGGAAGAGGTACGGGGAAACACACCAGCGAGAGGAAGGAAATCTGGGCTGTGGGGGCCAGCGTTATTCCAGGGTGACGTGGCTCCTCCCGCACCCTGACTTCCCCTGTGTCTAAGATTTGCATGAAGGGAGATAGAGAAACATCAGGCTGCATGACGTTCTGAGCTGTAGCATCACACCTAAATGAACCCAACATCGTGTGTGCAGATGGGGAAACCGAGGCCCAGGGGACCACGACATGCTCCAAGTCACTTGGCCAATAGCAGAACTAGGACTGGAACCCATGCCTTCTGAGCCCGGCCCTGGGGCTATTTCCTCTGTGCCATGGTCTGAGTCACGGAGCAAGAGGACAGTCTCTGGCCGGCTGCGTGCAGTTCCTACCTCGAGTGATCTGGAGATCTCAAATTCCTTCCTCCAAGTTCCCAGACGCCAGGAAGGTCCACTGACCCTGACGGAGCTCCAGCCAGGGGAGCAGGGGCACCTGAAGAGTCCCAGGAGGGAAAAGGTCTGCAGCTGAGCCCCAGACCCCCTCATCCTCCTGGAGCAGGCAACAGCCTCCAATCTGCCCCGCCCACCCGCTCCTTCTGTCCATTCGAGGCCTTCTCTCTCACTTGCAAGCCGCCTGCTCCCAGAGCCAGCCCAAGCCCCCTCTAACCCAGGCCCAGTCCAGTGACCAACAGAGCTGCTGGGCCAGACCTGACCTTTGGGCCTTGTATAACATCAGCCCTGTTGCCATGGTCATGGTGGCCCAGCAGCATCTTCTCATGGGGAGATGGGCCTCTAGGCTTGAGGCTTTATGATGTTTTCTTTAAAACTTTCCTTTTTTTCCCCCCAGAACAATGAGGGGAGAAAGTAATACCATAACTGAGTAAAAAAGAGATAAAGAGGGAGAGATGAAGAAAAAGGAAAACGGAGTGAGGGATATGGAAGGAGGGAAGAATAGACACACGGAGAGGAGGCGAGAGAGGGGGCTGAGTACCAGTGAAAGAAGAGAGAAAGGTCAGCCCAGCTTGAGGGAGATTCAGATTATATTAAGAGCTGGGAACCTTCGAAGCAAGCTGGAAAGAACAGGAAAGGGAGTTGGTGGGGGGGTGCCTGGCGGGCAGAGTGAGGGAGAGCGAGACAGGAGGCCAGCCTCGAGCAGCCAAAGCCAAATGTAACTGAGGACAGGCGCTTGGTCCCCAGGCAGGACACAACTGTTGGCCATGGCCTGCCTGACGCAGAGCTGGTGCACACGGGCAAGACCGCAGTGCCACAGGGAGCCCAGGTTCCCCACAGCCATGGGACCCGGTGCTCCCAGGGCTTATAAATAAACAGGCATGTGGGAAACGCACATTCTTTCTCCAAGAAATATAATTTATGTTTACGGCCAGTTTTTTTTTTCTTCCTAAAGAAAACACTACCATGTGGGGCCCCTGCCCCTGACAGTGTCCCTGAGTGTCCCCAGCCCTGGCCCCCTCCTTCCGTTATTGCTTGGATGGGAAAGATCTGGCCCTGGGAATTGCAGAACGACACCCCACTCCTCACCCCCTGAGGCTGTCCCTGGTGACGGAGTGGAGGCACACAGTGCTTGTCCCATGCCCCACGCCGTGCCAGCCACCCCGACTGTGCCCATTTAAGGGAATGGAGAGTGCAGGCAGTGGGAGAGGCGCTGGAACAGCCTCCCAGAGCAGAGAGCCTCTCTCCTCCGCGCAGGAGGCCCTAGAGGCACAGTGGCTTCTTTTCAAACTTGACAGCTGGAAGGCTCAGGCTGTGGGGAAGAGGGGGAGAGCGCTCTGCTCCCAGCGAGATTCCAGGCACAAGAGAACAGAACAGAATCAAAGGCAGGGGTGGAGACCCTGCCTTCTAAGCGACCCCTCCCCCATGCAAGTTTTAGGGGGCCTGGGAAGGGAGGTATGTGCGCTGAGCCCCAGTGGAGGGGAATCCCACTTTCCCACTTCTGTCCTGGGCACTGGCGCTTGGCCCAGGCCCTCCTCCAAGGACAGTTTGGGCTCACATGGGCATGTGGTCCGCCCCAGAGGTAGCTGCTCCTGCACCAGAAAGGGTGGGTCTAGGAGATCCAAACTCCAGGAGGAGGAGCGCTGGTGTGGCACCCTGGGCATCCAGACTGAGCCAGAGGTGGTGATTCTGGGGACAGCACGGACACGGCTCCAGGAGGAAGCCAGCATCCCCACTGTGCTGTCAGTGACTCTATCAGAGGGGACAGAGCCAGAGGGGACTAGACGAGCCAGGACTTCTCCGTCTGAGGACTGCCCAGAGATCAGCCCGGTGGTAGGCTGCTTACCAACCGTATGTGAAGATGACGCCCAGGCCTGCCTGTCCCTACAGCTCGCCCCAAGTGGCCCCTCCACTGCCCCAAGGTAGGGGTCCACCGTTCCCACAGACCTTCCCAGAGCCCCTCCTCCCAGAATGGCCCAAGTCCATCACCCAGAGCATAGGCTCAGGTGCCCAGTCCTGGAGCGGCTTCCAGGGCGGGGAGGCTGCCCCCGGGGGCCCCCAGAGCCCGGGGGCCACGGCCCCCTATGAGTAGGTCTTCTTCCTCCTCATCCTCAAAGGCCCGAGCTGGGCGCCGGGGCGGCGGCCGGGGCGTGGGCTCGTCGCGCTCGGCCATGCGCTCGACGGCGCCCTCGCCCACGAGGAAGACGGTGTCGGCGACGCGCGGGGGCCCAGTGACCGGGTTGTGGTCGTAGGAGAAGACGCGCAGGGCGCGCAGCGGGTGTAGGTCGGGGAAGCCGCCCAGGCGGTTGCGGTCCAGGTCGAGGATGTGCAGGCGGCCCATGCGCAGCAGCGCGGGCGGGAACTCCTCGAAGCGGTTGCCGTAGAGCCAGAGGCCGCGCAGGCCCGTCATGCGCGGCAGCTCGGCGGGCAGCGCGCGCAGCCGGTTGTCGCCCATCTGCAGCGACTGCAGCGCCACCAGGCGCAGCAGCGGCCGCGGGAAGCGCCGCAGGAAGTTGCCCTCGATCCAGAGGCAGCGCAGGCTCTGCAGCTGCGCGAAGTCCGCGGGCAGCGCCAGCAGCCGGTTGCCGCCCAGGTAGAGGCGCGTGAGGCGCGGCAGGCGACACAGGCCGTCGGGCAGGCGCTCGAGTTTGTTGAAGTCGAGCGCCAGGATGCGCAGCTCGCGCAGTTCCTCGATCTCCTCGGGCAGCTCGCGCAGCCCGGTGCCGCTCACGTAGAGCTTCTGCAGGCGGCTCAGCGCGCACACGGCGCTGGGCAGCCGCCGCAGCCGCCTCCCGCTCAGCTCCAGCTGCTGCTCGCCGTGGCGCAGCTGCTCCTCCGCGTCCGACGGCAGCTCGTCCGGCGTGGACTCGGCGATGCCCATGGTCACGGGCCCCGGCCCGGGCCGCTACCACCGCCGCCGCCGCCGCCGTCGCCGCCGCCGCCTCCCGGCATCGCCCCGCCCTGGCCGCCCCCGGGCCTCCCCGACGGGGCCGAGGCCGCGCCGGCTCCGGGGCCCCCCGCCCCGGCCTGTCCCTGCGCCGGGAGGGGGGCCGGGCCGGCCCGGGGAGTCGGGGCCCCGCCGCCGCGCTGCGCCGCCCGCCCTCCGGCCTCCCCCGCTCCCTCCACCGGAGGCCGACTGGCTCGGCTTCGCGCTGACTTGCGGCTCCGCGACCCGTCGCCCTGGCAACCCCCGACGCGTGTGCTGCTGCCAATGAGGCGGAGGGGGGGCGGGGCGGGGCGGGGCCGAGGTGCCGCCGGAGCGGGGTCCCGGCGCCCGGGCCCGCCCCTCGCCGGCCCAGGCGACCCGCCCCGGGAGCCGGCGCACGCCGAGGCAACCCAAGGTCCGCGCCCGGAAGGCAGAGCACTGCGCCAAGACCGACACGACGTCCGACGCTGTCTACACCTCTAGCACGACGAGCCGTTTGGCGAGCGGTTGTGTAGACCCGGAGCAGCAAGTTAGAGGACCTAGGAAACCTGGCGCGCGACCCGGGACTCTGGCCGAGTGGCTCTCGGGGAGGGACTGAGGGGCGCGGTCAATGCCGGCTCTTCGTCGCCAACGGCTTGCTCCCATTCTCACTTTAGGATAGTAACTCGGAGCGGTGTTCCTTTCTGGCCCTTTTCAGGGTGGGTCACACCGGAGACTTTGTGGGGACCGGGGCTGGGCTCCGCCCCCATCCCCCGGCCCCACTGCCAACAGGTTCCTCGTTAGTGCGCTCACGCTCCAGTCTCCTGCCTTGTCCCTCCAGCTGCGTTCGAGGTCTGCGTGTGGCTGCGGTGGGCAGAGGATTGGGACACGTGAGCCCCTTTGAGCACCACCAAGGATGACCACTGTCATTCTGTAACTCTCTTGCGCATGCTCCCACCAACAGCTGTGTGCCCCTGCCTCCTTCCCTCCCATTCAGAGCCCTCCTGCCAGAGCACGTGGCAGAAACACACGCTCCCGTTTCCTCCGAGCCCGCCATGTGCCCAGCGCTATACTAAGAGCATTGCACTGAATCCTTGCAACACGTCTGAGGTTGGTACCCTCGTTACCCCAAAGTTAAAGGCCGAGAAACTGAGGCTCTGAGGGGTTTCACTTGAGCTGGGTGAGTTGCCCAAGGTCACCGCGCTGGTGAGCGGCTGGGATTTGTGCTCTTAATCATGTACCACACTAACCTATAGAAACAACGAATTTTCTCACCCGGGAGCCTCTAACTCTCCTGCCAAAGCTACAAGGAAAGCATCATTAGTCCCATGTGAAAGATGAGGAAAGTGGCCTGAGAGGGATTAGGAAACCTGCTTAAGGTCACCACAACCAGTAGAAGTTACATCCAGGCAGCGGCCTCTGCAGGCTGGATGCCTCCTCCATCCTGCCTCCCCTTGAGCCTGGCTGGTGTGCACATGTAACCCACCCTGTCCCCTGCAGCACCCTGACCTTTGACCCACCCCCACCCCCATCCCCACTGCAGGCAGAGAGGGAGGCCAGCCCAGGGGCAGAGACCAGTGGCCAATGCCAGGAGAGCATGAGAACCACTTGTAAGCTGGAATGTCACCTCCCGGGGCAGACAAGTTTATCTCCTTCGCTGCAGCACCATGTCTAGCACGTAGTAGGTATTCAGTGAAAACTTCTAACAGTTTTTAAATGGAAACAAACTTTACATACCATGAAATGCTGAGATTGTAAGTGTACAGTTTGATGAGTTTTGACAAATATAAACACCCATGTAATATTTCCATCACTCAGAGCTCCCCTGAGCCTCTTTCAGTCAATCCCCGCCTCCCAGAGGCAACCATGAGTGTGACCTTAATCATCACGGATCAGTTTTGCCTGTTCTTGAATTTCATATAAATGAGATTATTCAGTGCCTATTTTTTCTTTTTTTCTTTTTTTCCTTGTTCCTGGCTTCTTTTGCTCAGATGCACCATATATACTTGTCAGATAAAGGGATGAAAAGGCATGGGGTGAACAGGTGATGGGAGACAGAGGCAGGTATTGCTGTGAGCCAGGAACCCAGCCACGGACACCTGTCCTGGGAGGGGCACTCTCAAAATGAAGGCGGGACTCCGAGCCGAGGCAGGGGACTCAGGCAGAGATTAAGCGGAGCCCAGACACCAGACCTGGGGTGTAAGAGGGTTCTGAGCTCCTTCTGGACTTCATCTAAGCCCCAACCCACTCTTCTACTCATTTGGGAGAACCTTTTGGAAGAGACCAAAAAGCCAAAGAAAACCCACCCAGGCTACTGGGGAAGAGCATGAGTCCCTCCCCCTCACCACCACCCCCCACCCCCGAAGCAGTTTCCCCAAGGGAACATTCACTGTGGAGGAGGAAGCCCAGCCAGCAGCCCCCGGCCCCCTTGCCACATGCTCGGAACTGGCACTCCAGCACCAGGCGGCCCTCTTGGGCTCTACAGACATGGCAGGAGCCACAGGGAGCCCCTGCAAATCCAGCACCAGCCTGGCAGAGCTTCCTGGGTTCAAGGGCACAGGGGGCCAGCCCTCTTTTTCTTCCAAGTCTTTCTCTTGCTCTGGGTAGATCATGTGCCTTCACCTCCCACCAGGCCCTTCTCGGTGGGTAAAGGTAAAATGTGCTGGTGTTCCGGGCCCACGCAGGTTGGCAGCCGGGCAATCATGTTGATGAATCACGCGAGCGCTGCAGGCTCCCGGTCCTTGTCGAGCGTCACTAATGAATTAGCTTCACCCCCAGCACGGGGCCTCTCAGCCTTTCCCTGCTCTCCAGGAAGGCAGGAAACTGAGACCTGGGAAGGGGGAGCAGCGGGGAGGGAAGAAAGGGCTCCAATGGCTCCAGGGATGGGCTCGGACCGGCCGTCCCCTCTGCCCACACACACACACACACACACACACACCGGAAAAATGCCCGAAGTGCATGTCCCTCAGGCCCCCCAGAAACAGCATCTCTATGCCTCTTCACGAGCTATAACTGCCCTGCCCACCTCCAAATCTGTGGGGTTTTTTTTTAAATAAATTTTTGAAATACAGAAAAAGTACAAAGCTCTCTGTGACAAACACCCCTGTGCCCAGCATCCAGCGTTGACAATTGTTCACATTTTGTCATACTTGCTCTACATCTACATTCTTTTAAATAAAAAGAAGGCAGCACATGTAGTCATACAAGTCTCCTTTGTGCCCTCCCGTGCGTGTCCCTCCCCCCGCTCCCCCCTGCCGCGCTGACCCTGCCAAGGCCCCCTCTGGCTCCCATTCCCCTCTCTGGGGCCAGGACCACTGCTGAGACTAGAATAAGATCCTGGAGTGTCAGCATCGTAGGTTCTTAGCAAGGATTTGAGCCTATTAGATCCAACCAGGAAACACCAGAGCAGGGATGATGCTGAGCTCTGTTAAATGTCCGCAAGAGGTTAGGGACCCTCATCCCAGAACAATGCGTGGAGGCAGGAATTCACTATTGATGTGCACTTTTCCCAGGGGTTCATGATCTCCTGGGGTCTAGTCCAACTCCCTCATTTGGAGAAAAGGGACATTGACCATGTGGCTCACTTCCCTGACCTGCACTGCCCCCCAACTTGAACCCTTGCCTCCATTCAGGTATTAATTCAACAAACAGGAAGCCCCTACTTGTGTGCCCAGGCACTGGGGATTGCTGTGAATGTGAACATTATAGACAAAAACCCCTGACTGTAGAACTTCTGTCCCTGTGAGTGGAGATAAGCAACAAAATGCATTCACAGTCGGTCAGGGGCTAGTCAGGCTATGCAGGAAATGAAGCAAGGGGGAGAGAGGAGGATGGAGGACCCCATTTAAAACAGAGTGGCTGGGGAGACCTCCTTGACAGGATGGCCTTGGAGAAAAATGGGAAGGAAGAGAGAGGGTAAACCTTGCAGACAGATGTCAAGGAGAAATGCATTCCAGGCAGAGGGGGTGGTGATGCCAAGACCCTGGGGCAGGAGTGGGGAGGAGGAGAGGGTTCTGGAGCAGCAAGGAGCCTGGGGAGCAAGGGGGAGCATGGTTACAGATGAGGCAGGAGACAGCTAGTGAGGAGGGGGCAGACCTCAGCGGGGCCATGGCCTTTGTGGAAGCTTTGGCTTTGACTCTGGGTGAGAGGTCACTGGGGGACTTTGAGCAGAAGAGTGGCAAAAAATCTGACACGTATTTGAACAGAATCCATTTGGCTGCGGCTGTAAGAAGGGTGTGTGTGTGTGCGTGCATGTGTGTGTCGGGGGCGGGGGAGTTTGTCCAACTCATACCCCCGTCGTTTTGATTCTCTTCCACAGGAAAATGCTGGTTATCACTTACTGAGCACCTGTAGATCATCTCATCCACCTCCCAGCACAGTTTTGCCAGGCAGATACTAAATCCCCCTTCTTTGACTGGTGAGAAAACATCCTGCGAAGTAGCTCGATCAAGGTTACGCAGCTGGGAAGGGACAAAGCCAGGCCATCCTATTGCAACGTCTGGGCTTCTCCTACTATGTCTCATTGTCTCTCTTGGCCGGGGTGGGGGGGAATTAGAGAAACCACCCAGGTTGTCTAAACACTTGCCCCCATCCTGCAAACAGCAAAAAAGTTTCCAGGACTGCCCTACTTGGAGATTTTGATCCCAGGCCCCAGGGCTCGGGGTGTTTGACCAACTGGGGGCATCCTAGAACGCACAGGACAAGCCTAGGAACCTCACAGGTTCAAGAAGGCAGAGGAAGGAGGTTCCCAAGTCCAGGGGCACCCCAGGGCTGTGATCTGGGCTCAGGGTTTGCCTATTAGCAATTTCCAGGCAGTCTCCGACCCATGATTAGCCCAGGGCCCTTCACTAGGTAGCCAAACTCATGAGGCTAGCTCAGCCACCACCAGCCTGTTCCCCAGACTCCCTCGACACTAGAGTCTAGACATGTCCTGAGGATCACATTCCCCTGGAACTTGAGCCCTGAGAGTGACCTGC